AAAATGAATTACAATCGTCCAGCCTGGAAGAAATAAATGCATGAACTAGTTTTTCAGCAGAGCCCTGGCTTTTTGTCAGCCTGGCTACAGGCTGCTGACAAGAAACCTAGGGTTGTTTTTATTTTTTCAATAAGTGAGGAAAAGTGAGATGTTCTTGCTTTGCGAAAAGCTCTGTCTTTTTTCTTTCTTTTTTTTTTTTTTTTACTTTTTTTCCTATAAAACAAACTATTCTTACAGGCTAAACAATGATCTTCTAAATGAGTGAATTGTTTCATCTTAGAACTTCAGCTTATGAACTGGTGCGCGTTTAAGAGTTATACCACAGAGTCAAGTAATTCATATTTGAGGTTTTCGTTTTCAGTTTGGGTATCCAGAGTTGTATGCAGTGAAGATGTAATACTATTAACAAGATAATCGACCTCTATGTGACTAGAATGGCTTAGTTACAGCACTTTCAGAAAGACATGTACCGGTACTCTAATAATCGTGTTAACCACTGCTTTGTAATCTGTTGTGGTATATTTAAATGTTAATAAGAAATGATCTGAAAAAGAGGGTTTTTTGTTTTAGGAAATACTGTTAGTTCAGTTTCTATGCCAATATGTCAGAACGAGATCTAAAGTGCGATTAAAGTGGTGGGTGGGTTCGACGGCGTTGTAACGATAGAAATGGTAATTAGTTAGATTACTCGTTACTGAAAAAAGTAACGCCGTTAGTAACGCCGTTACTTGTAATGCTAACTGAAGTCTGCAGTGTACAGGGTGATGAGGAAAGGGGCGAGCACTGTTCCTTGTGGGGCCCCCTTGGTACAGACTACCACCTCAGACACACAGTCCCACAGCCTCAGGTAGTCAATAATCCACTAGGATAACTGATGGTCTACTCTCCCTGCAGCTTCCCCATTAGCACTGAGGGCTGGATTGTGTTGAAGGCACTGGAGAAATCAAAAAACATGACTCTCACAGTGCACCTAGTGCCCTCCAGATGAGAGAAGGCCCGATGCAGCAGCATCATCCACCCTGATGTTCAGCTGGTAGCAAACTGCAGTGGGTCTAGGTCTCTCCTGACTAGTGGGTCAAGGTGGTGAAGTATGATCCTCTCCATGGTCTTCATCAGGCGTGAAGTCAGTGCAACAGGTCTGAATTGTTTTGGCTCTTATTTCTTAAACCCAGCTTCAGAGACAGTGTTGCATCTATGTCAGTTCTTGAGAGCAGGGCTCATGATGTAAATTAGCTTTTATATGTTTAGTGTTTCATGTCCTCTTTAAAGGATATGCAGGGAGTTGGGCGGGTGTCCCCCACCTCTTGGGAAAGAAACTGTGTTTGGCACAACCAAGCATTCAGACCATAGTTCAGTTTGCTACAACTGCTGGACGGGTTTTTGTTTTTGTTTTTGTTGTTGTTGTTGTTTAAAACAATATCAGCAGTATGCAGTTTAGCAGACTGCTGATATATTCTATAAAGAGTATATGCATGTAGGCGCAGATAGTGACGTTTCAGTTCCAGTGTTTCCCTTAGTGTGTGTAGGTGTATATCTAACCTTTGTATTAGTTGTTTTATTTTGGTACTTTGGTGTCTGTGGTGCTTTGCATTTCATTATAGCTCCTCCTAGTCTCATTACCTAGTTTCTGTTCACCTGTTCACCCCAGTTGTGTTCATGTTCTCTAATTGCCCTCAAGTGTCTGTTTTTGCTCCCTGTGTCTTCCCTGCCCACATTATTAGATTCCTGTATGGACCGTGTTATTAGGATTTTGGACTCTTCTGCCAGTTGAATAAAGGTACATGTCAGATTATTCAGTTGCCTTAAGAATCTGCATTTGGCTACTCCTTATGCAGAGCTATGATTGGTGCCTTGTGAAATGACAAATATAACAAAGAGCCAGGATACTTGAGCAGCTAGAATTCTACACTGGACCACCACATTGGACTATTAGAAATGACATTATGACCACTCACAGGTAAAGTTAATAATACAAAATATCTGTTCATGGGTGGGACATATTAGGGAAAGTTTTGTCTTCAAACTTCATGTGTGAGAACTAGGAAAAATGGACAACTGCAAGGTTTTGTTTATTTATTTATATTTATGCACTATCCCAGCTTTTGTGGAATTGTGGTTGTACTTAAAAATCAACAGTTTGCTAATCTCTATTAAACATTTATTCAACTATCTGCAGCCTAAAAAAGCGCTTACTTTCTTAGTTATGGAGCGATTGTAGCGCTAACAACAATCGCTCATTAAATTCAAAATGACTTTATTGTCGCACTTTCCTGACCTTCATTTTTTCTATACATCATTTCTCTCTCCAGGTGAGAAAATGACGGTACGATCATACAGTCTTCTTATTCTGGCAGCATGGCTGAATGCTGTGTTCTGGTGCTCCATGCCAATTGTTGGCTGGGCTGGCTATGCCCCTGACCCCACTGGAGCTACATGTACCATCAACTGGAGACAGAATGATGCGTGAGTCTTTAATGTACTTGATATATTGGATAAAAAGCTACTAAAAAAGAGTTTGAACAGATATTTGCCTCTCCATTAGCTCAGGTTTTTTTTCCATAGCCCAAACAGTCTACCCCATTAAAGCCATTGGTGTTTCTACTATCACAAGATGCAAAGGTAATGTTTTGGTGATTTGACACTATATAGCGGTTTTGCACATAACATCATGCACACATTGCTCAACAACTGTCTGCCATATTGGATAAGTGGTAGCGGTCACGTAAATTCACTGATACATAGTATACATAGAAATTATCACTATTTTCCCCCTCATAATGCCTATATTCTGCTGCATGATTGGGTGCAGCAATGATCAAGGACAGAAATCCCAGGTCAGGCTTGCAGGCAGGTCCATCATCTTTAGCCTCAAATTCTGGAGGCTTAAACTGCACTCTGTTGGGTCAAGCATTGTCATCTTGTAGACTACAGTTTTGTCCTAGACTGTGGAGATATGGGATTGTCACTGGTTGCAGAATCTTATTTTAAGATCTCGCTCCACTGAAATTGCCTCCAGTAACGACAAAAGCTTTCAGCCTTTTGGTTAAGCAATTACCATAGCATTTTCTGTGTCCTCGCCACAATTTGACCCTACAGTCCAGACGCAGTAGGCCAAAACTGTACCACTGAACATGATGTTTCTCCACATGTTCAGCTTACAGTACACATGTTGTCAGCACCAGCATAAACAGGTCTGATTGTGAAGGGCCTCCTGGGCGTCACATGAGACTGGAGATTGACTGTATGCTGTCTTTTAAGTGGTGACAGGTTAAGGAAACTGTCTTTTTTGGTCTCATCTTCTTGGGATGCCCACTGTGGGCCCTGTCCGACATTTCCCTTTAAATGGAACTTGACCTGTAATTTGGAGATGGTGCTAGGGCTCACTCCTAAATAATGCTCCAGCTTGGTTTTCCAGCATTCCAACTTGGCCTGGCACATGGCCTATCCAGATCAGTCAAATATGGTTATGTTTGGAACAGACACTAACTATATGCTGACAGCGAAACAACTAGTAACTCAGTGTTCCAACATTCGGAAGAGGGGACTACTCTCACGAGGTACAACACACATGCTATGGCAAGGGGGAGCCAGGACGACAGGTCAGGGAGGAGATGTCATCATCATCACCCACACCAGAGATTGGGTACCAAGAGGAAGGATCTTTGAGTGCGAGAAGAACTGACCTGAAATGTCTGTGAAGGTTCTCAGTTATCTAGGTCATCGTAGTCAAAGGAGCTTGGAAAGAAAAGCGTCTGGACTTCTTTAAGTTGCTTGAAGACGTTTCACCTCTCATCCGAGAAGCTTCTTCAGTTCTAAGGTCAAATGGTGGAGAGTCCCAGATATAAACCTAGTGGGAGTTTCCCCCCACAGAGGGACAAAAGGACCCCCTGATGATCCTCTTTCACACCTTGGCTCAGGCGATTAGAGGATCATCATCGGTGGTGTAGGGTCCTAATTACTCCAAGTTTGTGTTCCAGGGGGTGATGGGAGTCAAAGAGGAGGTACTGGTCCGTGTGTGTGGGCTTCCAGTAAACTTCGATGTTGAGGTTGCCGTTCTCTTCAATGTGCACGGCGCAGTCCAGGAAAGGCAAACAGTAGTCCTTTGTGCCTTCCCTGGTGAACTTGATGTTTTTATCCACAGCGTTAATGTGCGCGTGTCAGGTGTTGGATCTCCTCTCTATAGTGAGCCTCATCATTGTCTGATATGAGACCCACCACAGTGGTATCATCCAAAAACTTAATGATTATGTTAGTGAAATTAATGGCAGAACAATCGTGAGTGAACAGAATGAATAAGGCCGGACTGAGCACACAACCCTGTGGTGTGCCTATGTTCAAGACCAGTGTGGAAGATGTCCAGCTCTCTATTCTCATCATCTGAGGTCTGTTCGAGAGGAAGTCCCTGATCCAGTGGCACAGCGATGTTGGCACACCCAGGTTATAAGGCTTCAGAACCAACATCGTAGTATAAGAGCTGGAATGTTCGAAGTGGGTCAGGGCTCAGTACAGTGCTAATGCGATGGCATCCTCTGATGCATCCTTTTCAGGAAAATCCTGTCAGTTGGTCAGTGCATGCCTTCAAAGTCCTGCCTTCCTCCTTATCTGGTCCTGTAGCTCTGTTGGTGTTAATCCTCCTCAGGGTGGAACTCACTTGGTTTAGATGAGGGATGATGCTTGTTAGCTCCCTTATATAGCAAAAGGTTCTTTACACCGTGCATCATGATCATCATGCAGCCTGCTGTACCATTTGCTCTCGTCACCTGTAGGCTGCCCTACCCTTTTCACCTTTTGCATCAACAGGTGACCTTACTGAACTGAACCATGACACAAAAAATAATCAGGAAGGGGGCAAATAATTTTTCTCTGAACTGTTTATTTTTTTCACTTATATTGTAAGCATGTTTGCATTAAATATAACGGAATTTGAATATTTAGGATTTAAAACCCTGTTTAAAATGTTAATATGTCATTGCTTAGCTGAGATAAAACAAATCTAGCATGTCTTGGTATGAGAATGCTTTATAACTATCTGTGTTTTTCTTTCCCAGGTCTTTTATTTCTTATACTATGGCAGTGATTGCTGTGAACTTTGTGGTTCCTCTGTGTGTCATGTTTTACTGCTACTACAGTGTGACAGTCACTGTCAGGAGATACAAAGCAAGCAACTGCCTGGACTGCATTAACATGGATTGGTCTGATCAAATGGATGTCACCAAGGTGAAACTGAGCCACAGTTTTAGGCTTTGTTTGTTAATGCCACATGCATCTGTATTTATCAAATGCATGTTTAAACAGAGAAGAACACTTCTGGTCAAAATTAGTTTTTTTTACAAATATCCGATCTATGTTGTTCAATATGACAACATTACCGTTGACACTCTTTCCGAGTTTGGTAGGCTAACCATTTTTTTTACCATGGTTATAGCTTTAGTTCAGACCACAGTGTTCTACAAAATTGGAAAGTAATTTAGTTCTATATAATAAACGTGAAATTCAGGAAAAATATAGACTCCCGTGTGGTTTGTGGTCCACATGGGATACATAATTTATACTACATGGAGTAAATTTGCATGTTTTATATAATGTTGTTGTTGTTTGTTGCTGACAGATGTCAATTGTAATGATTGTCATGTTCCTGGTTGCCTGGTCTCCATACTCCATGGTGTGTCTGTGGGCATCGTTTAGTGACCCAAAGACTATCCCTGCCCCAATGGCTATTATTGCTCCACTCTTTGCCAAGTCCTCCACCTTTTATAATCCCTGTATTTACGTCATTGCCAACAAAAAGTGAGTGTTCTCTCTTAAGTATGCTATGACAATAGTTAATATTTCTGTGCTAATAAACTTTTGCATAAGAAACCAATATGTGGGATAAAGTGGGATATTTCTGTGTCACATTAACATTTTTATATACTGTGTACTTCTGTCTGTAGTGTGTAGTGATGGTGGTGTGTAGAAGTACTTAAATCGCCTTTTCTTGCAGGTTCAGAAGAGCCATTACAGGCATGATTCGGTGTCAAACAAGACAGCGAGTCACCATCAATACCCAAGTTCCCATGACAATTTCCCAACAACCTCTGACCCAGTGAGATGATATTGCATTCAGCATGATGTCACATTAATATTAAAATAACTTGGCATTAAAATGCTGTGTAGAAAAATGCAATAATGACAGCAATGAGTGACGGTGCTTCCACTGTCAGCTCAGCAAATATTTTGTCTCCCTTAGTTTCACAAAATGTAACCTACAAAGTCTTTAGAAGGGTGAGAGCCATAGATGAGCTGCTTAGGCTGGGCCCTTAAAAGCACATGGGTCTAATGGGTCTAATGGGCTAAGCCATTTTTTTAAAGATTGCAGCTTCCACTATCAAACACCCATGCTGATGTTTTTCTGATAGCTTGATTGAAAAGCAGCTGTAGTGTTTCCTTCTTCTCCTTTATTGGGACTGTTATAGGGCCATCAGTCTCTACTGTCCCTTCTATCAAAAGTCTTAAGGAACCTGTGAATAAACACTTAAAAAATAAAGAAAAAACAACGTTTGTATTGTATTCATGCCTTATTTTTTTGTCTGGTCTCTCATATGTTTGCAGGTACACTTAGCTTGACTACATGGCCCATATTATTTTTTATGCTATATATAAATTACATGAATATGAAAAAAAAATCATGTTTTTCTTAACAATGTAGGTCTCTATTCTTATGATGAAGTACTTCTTGGGTGCATCTCTGGAGTACACCAAGCCTTTTCTACTCTTTCATATACATGACGATGCCCCCCTCCCCATTTCTCCCACATTCTTACTCTCTGTCCTGGTGTGAATATGTGTGATGGGGTACAACCTGCCATCCTGTGGATGGTGTGACTTAATGTAAACATAATGTGAACTTTATTAATCCCCATAGGAAAATTTAAATGGCCTTTACTAGTCCCTAAGGACCCCAAAGCGCTTTACATATCCA